TCATTTTAACTTTTATTTATCACAATGATTCTATTTTTATTTAAAAGAGAAATAAATACTTTATATATTTATCTTTATATAATACCTACTATTGTTAAGTTACTGCTTGAGAGGAGGTATAGACAAAGCACAATTTGATTGAAAGGTGTTGGTTAATGGACTGCATATGTCTAAGAAGTTTTTGGACGACGTTTCGAGTTCCTAGAGTCCTAGACAGATGCATTCCATTAACAACGCCTTTCAAGCATCATCAAATTATTACCAGAGCGCAGTGATAACGTCAAGTGAGGTAGGCAAGGGGTGACAGGAGCCACCTTAAATATTTGTCACCTCCCTAAAAAAGCACAATTTGATTGAAAGGTGTTGATTAATGGTCTGCATATGTCTAAGAAGTTTTTGGACGACGTTTCGAGTTCCTAGAGTCCTAGACAGATGCATTCCATTAACAACGCCTTTCAAGCATCATCAAATTATTACCAGAGCGCAGTGATAACGTCAAGTGAGGTAGGCAAGGGGTGACAGGAGCCACCTTAAATATTTGTCACCTCCCTAAAAATTTCTACTAAAGCTACATCTCACACATTTTCATGTATTCATGCATCAAACATCCACAGACGAGAAAACCTCGTTCAACGAAGCATGCGATCTCTGATTAATCACGTTATTTTTGCAGACAATTAGACTAAGAACTCAAAATATTTGAGAGGTACTTGTTTAGTCCAACCTTGGGAATTTTGCGTTTAATAAAACAAAATAAAACATCATGATAACATTCGGCAGGAAAAATGATCTTACTTGATATCTTCCTAATTGATCTTCCACGAATTTCCCATTATTTATTTAAAATTAAAAACAAAATTTGCACCACCAACTCATCCCTCTACTACTCATTCGTTACTTCCTCTCAGCCTTTCCACTACCTGGATGTGCTGCTAATTAAATCGTAAGCCTGCATGAAGGAATTATACATTAACTTCATAATTCTTTAATCTTAAATTCAAGCGATAAATATCTACTATTTTATATATGTAGAGTTTGATGTGGTGATTACCTGTTTCTTTAATCTTTAAAAAGACTTCGCATATTTATTTTAAATCTTTCAATTCTGCCTTAACCATGTCAATGTGCAAAAATGTAACTTTTGTGTAAGGACAAACATATCAGTATACCGGAATTTATTACTTCTAAACGACCACATTCACGTTTCTGTGTTGTCTTAGGTTCTCTAGAGATACCTTTTCTGAAGAACACAGGACATTAAGTATTCTCAACGAAACAAGATTAAATTTTTTTATTTAGATGTTTTGTATCTTATTATCTCATTATATATTTTTGTATCTTATTATCTCATTATATATTTTTGTATCTTATTATCTCATTATATATTTTTGTATCTTATTATCTCATTATATATTTTTGTATCTTATTATCTTGTCATATGTTTTTCTTTCCTGAAACATCAGTGCTTTTCTTTCCTCATTTGTTTGAAACTTAATGTGGAAAAGTTTAAAGTAATAAAACTATAGGAATTTAAGTTTTTATATACCTTAGGCCATTCTATATGTTCTCTCTGAGTGTTTGGAAATACTTTGTAGTAATTGTTTAGTACTAAAGCAAATGATTTTGAAAATTGTCGGAATAGTAACTTCGACTATAGAGGTTTAGATATCGACCATCTATGATATTTTTGTTAATGAAATACCTGTCTGCAAATTAATTTGCTAATATATTTAAATTAAGTAACTGTTATTAAAGTAATGAATGCTGTTCATATTGAAAGGCAGATTGCAAGTATTAAAATATCTATACATAGCACACATGATTTTCTATAATATTCAAACTGATGATCAAATCCTATATTAAAATAGTAAATGTCTGGATACAGTAAAGTTTATAGATATATAACATAAACGTTATTAAAATATTGGAATCACGTATTAACGCAACTCTATTATTCGGAACACACATATAATTTACAGAACCAACCAGATTATCTAAAATTTATGGTGGTAGTTTTTCCTTTCTAAAATAGTGTTAATTAATAATTTCCTTTATACTTAACGTCATTGAAACTGATTAACAGTTGCTTCTCATCACCTGCATCCATTTGGTACAGCCTTATCAACCATCATTATTTACGCTATTACTACGTGACGCTAAACGCTCTTTAATTAGGAGAATTTCATAAAATGTGGCAAATTTGTGTTTGAAAGTTTGCAACGAATAATGAATAATAACCGGACACCCGTACATGAGCTAGAAACTGCTAAGCTAGTTTGCTTGGCCTAATCAATACTTATGTATCTGCACGTGCTTTCACCCTATAGTTTTGCTGCTGTAAATCGTCCGTCTTTAATCCAAATGGCAAAAAACCAGAACCGGTCTATCGTTACTCTTAGATGAAGACCAATAGCTTACGTGACGTTTTTCGTAGGCGTGCGCAAAGATTTTAGTCAAAATTAAGCGGTTTTTGTTGAATAACGTTTCACACGTGGCTTATACTTAGACCACATTTGATACCTAATTATAGGTTGTAAAAATCTATTAGTGCATCAAATTAAAAAAAAAACAAATCCATGGAAGTTAAATATGTTCTTCTATCAAATACATTTTCCGCACTTTCGGTGTGAAGGAAAATCAGAATTGAAAATTTTATATATCGGGTATTTCTCAAGGGATTGCCTTGAAATTTGGTATGTGAAGTAAGGGTCCAGTAGAGCACAACCACTGAATATATGTGATAGTTTGGATTATCACAGTCTGAGCTGCAGAAAGTGAAAATTGCTAAACTATCACTCCTTTAATTGTTGTTGTTTGTAATCAAGCACAAAGCTACACAATGGGCTATCTGTGCTCTGCCCACCACGGGTATCGAAACCCGGATTCTAGTGTTGTAAGTCCGCAGACATACCGCTGTGCCACTGGGGCTATTCCTTTAATAACACACAGTGTGTCGTGCAGATTTTTTTTGGCCGCACCTCTCACTACCGTGTGTCTTGATGTATTGTAGAAATTTTCTTCATCGCGACGAAAACGCTCACAAGTAACTATCTCACAACTGTTACACTATCTCTGGAAGTTGTTGATTAAATGCATTCTATGGTTTTTCACTCGATATGAAATTTTTCCTTTCGTTGAAGCTTAAATTCACGTGATTTATGGATAGAGATATTAGTAGACGCATTACCTAAAGATAAAATAAAGTGGAACGCATAATCCATATATATATATATCCAGTCTATTCTCACTCTAAATAGTCCTACAGGTTAACAATGAAGCATCCGTTCAGAAAGTCACCATGCATCAGTAATCAGTTGCATTTTAAGTATGTTCTCACCAAAAACGGAATCGTACTACAACATTCTCCTAAAAGAGTATCTGGTTTTTAAGCGTAATAATGGCTAGATCGACAATGGTTTAACGTCATGTAAACTTAGGTTCTCCATTTTCATAAACTTATATATTACGAGTGGTTTAATAGTTACAATTTGTTACAGTACGTAGGTTGAGTACATTATATTAAAGCGATGTTGGAAACTTACCACGTCGTTAAAGTACATGTCGCCAGGTCCGGTCATGCTCTATCTGATGACCGTCGATCTTAGCAATGTCCTTGCAGCGTAGTTTCAATTATAAAGGGATCCAATTGTAGGTTGTTTGTCACTCCACCACCACCCTGATCGCACATAAGTATATAGGCGTTGCTTTCGGCAGTGTGCAATACCATGAATACCCGTTTCCCTCTCCAGCTAGTTGAGATATGCGACAGTTAAACGTATATATATATATAGTGGAAGCAACTAGTGTACACGTAATTTTTTCATTTTAACAGACGGAGATCCTTTCTGATTATGTTACGTATTGTTATCTGGGGTCCACTGACATTAAGAAAATAAGTACCCTCGTTTTAGGAATTTTTAATACTGGCCTGAACACATCTAAATGTAAAAATATTTTTTGTCGGATAGGGCTGTTACATTCCCTTCCCCAAAACGATCAGTTTTTAGTGACATCACCCTACCTATGTAACGCCAAAGAATATCAAAATTTATTTTTGATGTATACCGTTTCCCCGCAGTTGTATGTTTGTGGCTGCCACGTGACTTGTTGATTAGCATGTTCAAAATTGTTTTAATATAATGTACTTAACCCTCTGTACATGCAATACAACCGTTTTCTGTGCATATAAGACCAGTATTTTATTCAGACTTGAGTCTGCACATCCACAACTAATTTTTACTTATTACTACAGTGTTATATCTTATCATTACAGTGTCTGTTTTCCTAAATCCTTTTACATCCAGTTTTATTTCTTCTTTTTTTTCGCCTACAAGTACTTATTATAACATATTAACAGAATAGTTCAAGAAATATTTGATGCTAAGCTCATTTCAAGGGCATATGTTTAGGTAGTAAGAACGTTTGTTTATATTAAGGTTAATTATTTCTCTCAGCTGTTTCAATTTTTGATTTTTGCATTTCCTTAATTAAATTACTTTAGTCAAGGACTAAATTTTACATTAAGAAAATTAGGGTTTCCTGTTCTCGATAAAATATTTTGCTGCGGCCACATTTGAGCAACTGTTGTGTTACACTGTTGTTGCTTTGTTTTTTTAAAACAAGTTTATAGTCAGTGAGTAATTCAAAATTCACTTACTCATGCCTTCTTTGTTGGCGTTAAAACTTTCGAACATTTTCACAATAACATTTATAACAGAAATATTCGAGAGTAAACTGAGAGCTTTATGTCAAGAGAAAACTCTAGAACACGTACGAAAAAAGAAAAAAAAAGGATTCCAAGCACGTGTAAATATTTCCTTGAACTAATTGTTTCAACTTCTGCGTTAATGTGGCTATTTACGAAGTTACCGAAAACTAATCACTTTTCTACGACTCTCAGTCACATATTGAAGTTTTGCATTACATTTTTTTTTTAAATTACAGTTTCTTATATTTTATAATCAGAGAATTATCTACAAATTTGTCACATTTCTTTGCAGGATATCCCCACAAATACTTTGCAGAAAAAGTGACGGCTCTTCTCGGAGAAGATGCCGTTCTTCCATGCTCTTTCGAATTTCCAAAAGGTGTTCCTGTTCCTTATATTATTCAATGGCACAAAAAAGGCATCAAAATTCCTATTTATATCTGGTACGCCGGTTACCCTCCTCACATTGGCGAAGGCTACGATGGTCGAGTGTCTCTCACGGGTCAGGCATCTCTCAACCTAACCGACTTGCAAGAACATGACCAAGGAACATATACTTGTATAGTGAACTTCTTTGATAGGTCACCAGATCAAAAAAGAAATGGAAGTCTGGTTCACTTGTTCGTACACGGTAAGTCGTTTCGTTTCAGTAATATATGTAATCTACATAATGATTTATTCATAGCCGTATGTTATGGATATATACAGTATTGAAAATAATTAAAAGAGGTCATACACATACAGAAGTCATAAACAATGAGCTATTGTAACTGAATGGCCAGTTTATTATTATTATTGTTATTCATTATTAAAGAAATACAAAAGAAAAGCGAGTAAGTTATACAACGCATCATAACCTTATAAATGTATAATGTATAATTCTTCAGCAAAGTCGTTTGATTTGTTTTTCCAGTTTTCATATAATCTGAACAAATACAGCATTTTTAATATTCATGTCAGGATTTTATGCAGGGCAAGTTAAACAACGGTTGCATGTGTTCAGTAGGTCTTTTTAACTGCAGGTAACGTTTTATCATATTTGATTCATGCATCAGATCACTGTATTGCTTGAAATGAATCCAGTCCCATCAAGTTTTGTTCCTGGGGGAATGACATTATGAATAAGAATCTTACTTTACCTGTCTAAAGTCAGAGTGTCATCAATTTTGCGTAGATGTTCAACATCACTGACTTAGATGCAACATACTTTCATTGAGCCCCAAACATATTTCACTGTATATTTGTACTTGTACGTTTATGGTGAAACGTTATCTTCTCTGATATCTAACAAAACATCGTTGGTTGTTGTCAAACAACTTGAAGTTGTATTTATCTATAAAAAACACTCTCCCGAATCTTTACTAATCCAATTGATGGATGTTTTATGCTAATTTCTACCATATGCAGAATTTTTTGAGCTGATACATATCCGATTAGACCATTTCGTGCTAATTTGTATTTTATTCTTATGTAACTAAAACCCACACCTGCAATTACAAGGTCGTTAGCAAAATATCTACTGGATTGTTGTTCACAACGTAAATAGCACATTATAAGCCACTTAACATGACTATTTATAGTTTGTGCTTTCTACTTCAACAGCTTCTATTACCAAGAGTGCTAGTTTTATGTATCCTCTTCAGAGTTTCCATATAACTCCTAGTGAAACATGACATTTTCCTCAATTTGTCGTATGTTGTAGACTTCACTAGCCAAAACTGATTTCTATACGTTTGTCATGTGACATTTCTGTCCCTGGGAACCATGAGTGCATTCATCACACTTCAACTGGGAATGGTTTGACTGCTTGTACTTTTATAGGCATTATACTTATGTTTCACTGTCTGATTGGCTGGATGACAGCTAATTAGATTATAAGCTATCAGACGTAATGCTCTGGTGCAGCTCATTTTTATACAATAGAGGAGACGCAGTTCCATCATAGTTGCATTGTATACCCATCTTATTCACTATTTCAGTAATTATTACCAGTACTGTACATACAAAGTGAACGCGTTACGCCATTAGAAAATAATCTATCGTGTATATACTTATCAAATCGCTTATGTATATTCCCTGTTTTCCACCATCTAGCTCAAAGACAAATAATAACTTTTGATTCTAATAAAGGAGCAACCGTTTCTCGAAATCGCTCATGACTGCAGACTCGATTATGTGATTCCGTAATCGTTCTTAGCGGTTCCCTGTGATTCATTCTTAACATTTTTATTCTTTCAGTTAACATTTTACAAGGTTATCTATACTACCTTCCTTATGAACACAGATTGTTTTTGTTTAGAAGACAAATAAGTAAGTTACTTGAGATTTTTTTTACATCTGGATTACAAATAATCGAGTCTGTTCATGCAGACTAGTAATTTACAAGAATCAGTGCATGAAAATTGAATTTTTCCAAAACCTTTGAAAAGAGAAGGCCTATCTTCTAAAAGCATCCGGGTTATCAAGTTTAGTGAATTATGATTTATCTATTTTTGCTACTCTTGCGTGATTGTTAAGTATCATGAATACACAAAATAAAGACTGAGGCCGTCTTCATGCACTGAAAAGAAATTAGGCATATCATAGGCTAGCCTCTATTATTCAATTCTACTTTCCTTTATTTTTCCTCTTGACCAATGTTATGTTATAAATTAGGAAGAAAGTTAATTATCATGAACATCACACCAGGTAGTAATTTTTGCAATTCTGTAATTTTACGCTATCCTATGTGCACACAAAAGGTGAAAAGTATTGGTTTGTTTGTTTGTTTTTGAATTTCGCGCAAAGCTACACGAGGCTATATGCGCTAGCCGTCCCTAATTTTGCAGTGTAAGACTAGAGGGAAGGCAGCTAGTCATCACAACCCACCGCCAATTCTTGGGCTACCATTTTACCAACGAATAGTGGGATTGATCGTCACATTATAACGCCCCCTCGGCTGAAAGGGCGAGCATGTTTGGGGGGACGGGGATTTGAACCCGCGACCCACAGATTGCGAGACGAATGTCTTAACCACCTGGGCATGCCGGGCCTAAAAGTATTGGTAGTGGGTTAATATGATTATAATGAATGTTCTTTTTAATAATGAAATCTTAAACTTGATTACGAAAAGTGTAATAAGGAAAAATGAAAATAATGAAGAGGACGAGTCTGGAAAATGTATATTAAGTATACTTTTTCAATAACTGCTTTTATTTTTTTGAGGCTTACATAAATAAATTAATATGAAACTATTTCAATATTATCCGCTTAATGAGCTTCAATTTTATTTCATATCTTGGTATTCTTTTATGCTTCTCTGGGATCATGTACAGTAAAATTCCAAGCAAAAAAAGTTGCTTTTATTTAGGATATTGCTAAGTAGCTAAAAAATAATAAAAACTCAATATGATAATTTAACTATGTTTAAAATTACATTTTAAAGAAATAATTTTAAACGATAACTATGCTTTAGAAAATGAACTTTAAGAAAATACTTGATTTCGAAACTATAGACAAATAATATAAAATACATATATAAAATATTTTGAAGGAAAATTAGTTATTTAATATCAGGTGGTTATATTATGGTGATCTCATTCCCAAGTTTCATGTTGTAAAAATCATCAGTGTATGTATTACAATATTACGTTGTTAAAAAAGAAACGACGCTTGAAGTGGTCATGGTTAATTAGGATTGATTGATGTGATATCCATTGTATATATACATATCTGCTACAGTCTTCTAGACTCCTACAAGAATAAAGGAACAACCAACTCTTGGACATTTTTGTTATTTAATTGATGTTAGCCATATCTTGTTGTTGCTGTTTTAGCACAAACTTACACAATTGGCTATTTGCACTCTGTCCACCGCGGGAAATCGAGCCCCGGATTTTAGTGGTGTAAGTTTATAAACTTACCGCTAACCCACCAGAGGACTAACCATATCTCAAGTCACTTCTAATCCAGAATTAGGGGATGAAAATATAATTTGTTGGAAGTATTTACAAAAATTGGCACATGTGACAATATTAGAAAAAACAATTGAAACTTTTTAATTTATATTGTACAGACTCCTCGTGAAAAAAAATGTTTAAAAGACTGTGATAGTTTATCTTTCTTGTAAAAGGTCAGGTTAGAGCAACTTGTTCTCCATTCACAGGTCGTCACAGTTCCTTTGAAGCATTTTCTTGATGCATTTTACAATCCCATTTTTGCTTTAACATACATTTGGTATGACTTAATTAACGTTTTCTCTAAAAAAAACATATTTAAGTGACTGCTGCCATTTTTGATTTCAAGTTTAAGAATCATAATAGAATGAATTTTGTACAAACGAAGAAGTCATACCTATAACGACCTCATAGCTGCTATGTTCTGTTTGTCTATATAATGTATTAATATGTGTTTACACTTTGTAACTGGCCCCCCAGTAGCATAGCGGTATGTCTGCGGACTTACAACGCTAGAAACCGGGTTTCGATACCCGTGGTGGACAGAGAACAGATAGCCCATTGTGTAGCTTTGTGCTTATCTACAAACAAACAAACTTTGGTACTGACAATGGCCAATTAATTTTAGGTCGCCTGTTTCCCGATGGCATAGCGTTAAGTCTAAGGACTTACGGCGTTAAAATACTGGGTTCGGTTCCCATCGGTGAACACAAAAGATAACTAAAACAAACAAGCATATAGACTATCAATACTTATTGTCTTGTTTTTTCGTCATTATAATTCTAAGGAAAGTAACTGGAAAGAAATAAAGTATTTTTATCCAAAAAGAAACAGTCTACATAACCCAGAAAAAGAGGAGGCTTTATACCGTTAAAACTTCGCAATGCTGATGTAACACTGCTGTTTTACAGCACTTATTTAAGAAAAACCTCTTGTTCCAGTCGGTTCTCTAAGTTTGTATTCTGGTTCTAGGAGTGAAACTTTCTAAAATCCTATAAGAAAGAAACTACAGGAAGTTTGGAGCTCGTCTCCTATGCTCTCCATTCTAATACAGTTTATCCTTGCCAGAAACTGGAGGGGGGGAGAGGGAGGTTACATGTTATCCCTTTCCTGTTCTACTTTATTTATTACTTCAAAATGATGTTTACTTTCTGAAGTCCTTACCTTATCCTCACGAAACTCGGTATTTACAGATATGAATAAAACAAAGAGGAAACAACAAATACCAAGATCAAGAATAGGAAGGGACGAAGTTATATTAATCAGGGCTCACTGTATTACTAAAGAGAGTTCCTTTAAAACAACTGCTTTTTTTGAGCCATGGAAATAGAAAAAAACAAATATGCTGAAGAAAGAATATCTTTACAATTTGTATATGCAGAACCCCATGTCGAAACTGTATAAAGGATGAAGTTCACTGATCTACTGGTTCATTTGTTTGTCTTCAAAAGTTACTTAAAGGTAATTGGACTGATATATTTGCCAATCCCAGTCGTAATGAGACTAAGATTAAGCTTTAGGCGCCAGTGCTTTGTGCTGTTCTATTGATTTTTAAAACAATTAATTCAATATTTAACTTTTTTTTTCAATACAAAAAGTAAATGAATATATAATTTGCTTAATGCTTGTGAGTAAAAAGAAAGATTCTTTCTACTGCACCAAGCTGACGCCCATTTGGATTTTGACTGCAGAAGAT